TCTCTCTCTCTCTCTCTCTCTCTCTCTCTCTCTCTCTCTCTCTCTCTTTTCCTGAGGATGTGGGGATCAGCTGCTTAAAAAATTCTAAAAGTACAGATTTAGGATATAAGCAAACTTGATAAAATTGACAAAGTATACAGGGATTATCTCTCCCAAAGTCTCCCCCTTTACCAACAGATTTAATAATTCATTTCCCTGTATTCACAGGATCACAGATCTAAAACTGGAAGGGTCCTCAGAGGTCATATAGTCCAACCCCTTCATTTTACAGATAAGGAAACTGAGGCCCAGGGTGATTAAATGACTTGCCCAAAGTTACACAGGTGTTAAGCATTACAGGTAGGGTTTGAACCTAGGACCTCTAACTGCAGAGCCAGGGCTTAATCTGTTGACATCAAAATCCATGAAAACTCTAAAGAATGGTGTTGTGTTTCTTTCAGAGGCAGTATGACAGGGGAGATATTGCTAAAAACAAAATTGGGCAAGAGGATCCCAGGTAGAAAAAAAAAACAGATGAGTACAGTGATGCCAAAGGAGAGAAAAAAATAGGATGACATGGAGCCAGCCCTGAACTAAGGAAGTATCTCTGAAATTTTAAGATGAGCAGGAGGCTCCATGTGACAGCATTGGCAACCTGGGACAGATGCCAGATCTGGGCATGTGGCTCAGGTTACAGGTCTGTACACTGGGGGACCCATCACAAGGCTCTCTTCCCAGGCTAGTTTCTTTTTTGTATTCTAACATCAATCACTTTACCTAAGGTGGGGAAGAGGGATAAGAATCAGCTAAAATATTCACAGGCAGGTTCTCAAGTTGTATGCTGAAAAACATAAATGCAGAAAAATAATGTAACTCTAAGACAGGATATCTTGCAGTATGTGATTGTAAAGAACTGCGCCTCAAACACTTACTAACTGTATGACCCTGGGGAAATCACTTAACCCTGATTGCCTCCAAAAAAAAAAAACTGCAACTAGTTTGTGTGTGTGTGTGTGTGTGTGTGTGTGTGTGTGTGTGTGTGTGTGTGTATAGAACCCTGTAATAAAGTATTTTTGCTTTAGGAGTGGAAGAGAGTATATAAATGGGATGACACAATGGAAAGATAAAAAGATTTAACAAGGCAGTCCATTGATGGAATGGAATGAGGGGGAAGGGGTGCCTTCAGGTCCCTGACATTGGAGGAATTCTAGCAGAGACTGAATGTTTCCCCAACATTCAGTTATAGAGAAGATTCCTACTTCTAATAAGAGCTGGACTAGATGATCTCAGAGGTCCCTTTCAGTTCTGACATTTTATTTTATTCCTTCACAAGATGTATAAATACAAAGGTGAAATGAGGGTAGTAAGATTCCCTAGTGGATGGATATGATAGGATATGTGAGAGCTAGAACTAAGTCCTCAACTCTAAGAATTTTCTAATGGCAATATCACATACCATTAACATCAGGTTAGGCATCCACCCTGGTCATATATGCCATACAAACCAAAATAATTCAACTAATTCTGGCCGCATTACTACTACACAAATTTCAAAGGATTCTGGGCAAAGGCAACATTCCAAATACTTACATTTGATGTTGTCTCACAAATTCTGCAAACTGTTGGTCTTTGGCATAAAGTTCAAAAAGCCTGGCTCTTTCTTGAATCTCCTTTTTTAAAAAATGAGAAAATGCTTTAGAAAAATTTCAAAAACAAAAACAAAATATCTTTTAAAGGGGCTTATGGGGACAGCTAGGTGGCATGGTGGATAGAGCACTGGCCCTGAAGTCAAGAAGACCTGAGTTCAAATCCAGTCTCAGACCAAACACTTGACACTTACTAGCTGTGTGACCCTGGGCAAGTCACTTAACCCCAATTGCCTAGAAAAAAAAAAAGGGCTTATGGCATCCTACTGTTTTGTACTCGCATTCCTCAGGGAAAAAAAACCAAAACATTATCCCTTCAGAGAAAGAGGCAGAGGTTCTAATACTACCTTACCAGTCTCTGTATTAACAGGGACTATAAAGAAGGGCTCTGGTGTGCCCCATTACAAATCTTCTCATCAAGGTAAAAGGAGTTCTTTTATATGTTTTTCCACAGATGTCCCAAATTTAAACTCATACTACTCAACATTATGCCATATGTATTAGGTGACCTTTGTGCATGCATGCTTCAGCATCATTGTGTATGTTTCATGGTGTCAAGACATAACCACAGAATAGCTTTCATACTATATAAATATATATATATATATACATATATACACATATACACATACAATGTATCCACACATACTATACAGATATATAAATGCATTTATGTATGCATACTACATGCAGTATATCTCTATCATGTGCTTATATACTACATACATGTGTATCATATACTCATTCACACATACATACATGTACCTATATATGTGTGTATATACATGCATGTATACATATGTGGTGAGAGAGGGAACAAAAGAGAGAACTGACGGAGGAACAAAATCACACACCTCACTGGTAAGCTCATGGTCCTCGTGGATGTGTCTGATTTCTTCACCGCTGAAGGCAGTAGGCACCTCTCCGCTGGCAGAGCTGTAGGAAGTAAGCTGAGGGTAGCTCCTCCCATTCTGATCATCTCCAGTGACATCACCCTCAAACACAGGGTTGTACTTCACAGCACTCTCAAGGGATGGGGGGCTGTGTCTCCTCCTGTTGTAATCATACAACACAGTCAACCCACAGCTTAGTCAACTTTACCTTGGAGATTTTACCTAAGTCAGAACAGTTGAATATGGACCTCATAATGGAAGAGAGAGGCTGTCACTAGAGGCTGAATGTAAATAGCAAGGTGCGACTACCAGAAGTGTCAAATCTAATCCCCAAATGTTTATTCATTAATGAATGTACCTGTTTGTATTTGGTACTTGGCTGAGGAATGAGCATATCCATTTTTTGCCTTGTAGGAACATACATTAAAAGAAATGACTCCTCTGAGGGCACACCAGTTTGGAAACTTAAAGAGAACTTAACAGTGAGAGTAATGATAATAATAGCTAACATTTATATGGTGTTTACTATGTGTCATGCACTATGCTAAAACATTTCACGATAATTATTTCCTTCAATATTCACAACGACCCTAAGAGGTAGATACTATATGATCCCCATTTTACAGATGAGGAAAACAGAAGTTAAATGACTTGCTCAGGGTCACACAGCTAGGAAAGGTCTGAGACTAGATTAATCTCAGGTCTTCCTGACTCCAGGACCAGTGCTCCAAATTCTGTACTACCAACTGCATCTTGGAATAGGCATATAATTACCAAGAGATTAGCATCTGAAATTGGCTACTCTAGCAACAAAGAGACAGAGAGTAATAATAATTTGTGACCATATAACCACCCAAGAAATACTGGAGCTCTCCCTTCAAAATGGTGGCTCATTTCACCGCCAGATGAAGTCACACCTGCCAAAACAAAGCCCCATTTTTTAGTTCTTGTCCAAAATCTATCCCAACTGATGATCTGACTATGATTTCCATTCAATCTGAGATGATTCAAAATAGCAATCATTTGGGTTCTTCACACAAAAGGGGAAATGGAGTCACTCCAAAGAGACTTGTGCTTTCACTTACCTGAGGGAACCTTTTCTTTCTCTCTTTGCATACTGGTCTCTCAGAGTCCTAGCCAGGAAGAAGAGGACTGCCAAGACTACAAGAAGAAAGCCAATCACTGAGGCCACAGCAATTCCTATCACCTGGGGCTCCGACATGTACTCTTCACAGTGTTCCCCTCGATACCACCAGTTCTCACCTACACGGCATCTAGAACATAAAAACCCCACCACAAAAACCATAACACCATTCAGGAAAATGGTCCAGTCACTAAATCACTGGTAGCTGTTATGGTAAGGAGCAGAGAGAAGAAAGGATTTAGCTAAAGTGATGAATGTTAGAGCTGAAAGGAGACCTTGTTTTTGCTGTTCAGTCATTTCAGTCATGTCAACTCTTCATTACTCCCATTTGAGGTTTTCTTGGCAAAGATATTGGAGTAGTTTGCCATTTCCCTCTCTAGCTTATTTTACAGATGAGGAAACTGAGGCAAACAAGGTTAAGTGACTTTGTCCAGGGTCACGCAGCTAATAAGTGCCTAAGGACAAATTTAAACCTCCTTAATTCAAATCTGACTTGTCCCTTGGAAAATGGGGGGATGCTGATTTTGGGGTAGAGTTCAATGTTGCCTCCAACCTCCAAGAAGTCAGAACTAAGCAGGCCTAGATCACAGCAAGAAAGAACAGGACTAGAAGTATGTGATCTAACTAGAGTGAGTAAAAGTTGTAGACAGGGGTTTAGGGACCCTGGTATTCAGCTTTCTTCTTCGATCTCTCTTTCAGTGGATAGAGTGCTGGGTTTGGCATCAGAAAGGCCTGAGTTTAAATCAAGCCTTAGACACTTGCTAGCTGTCTGACCCTGAGCAAATCACTTAATCTCCTTCTGCCTCAGTTTCCTCAGCTGTAAAATGGGGATCATAATAGCACCTATCTTGTAGGGTTGTTGTGAGGAGCAAATGAAACAATAATTGTAAAGTGCTTAGCACAGGGCCTGCAACATATTAAGTGCTTAATAAATGCTTGTTCCCTTTCCCTTTTCTTTCCTTACAATTGAGTAGGCTAGCTCTGTTCTAGGGCTCATTCTTTTCCCTTTCAATGAACCTAAAGAGAATCTTCTCTTTTCTGTTCCTCTTCTCTTCTCAAAGGTAGAGTAAAAGAGAGCATCATGGCTCCCTACCCATTCTATGGACAGTGGTATAGAGAAGGTTGCTCTTCTGGTGAGAAAAAGTCTACTCTCTTTTTCTTTCTTTTGGCTAGTAGTTGGGGAGACCCTTGGTCTTGTGTTACTGTAGGCTTAATAGGACCCTGCAGAATTATCCATGCCAGCTTTCTCTCAAAAATAATTATGTTCTCAGAAAGGTCATTGGCTTGCCCAAGTACACATGACTCCAGAGGCATATGACAGAGAAAGGAGTAAAACCCAGTTCTATGTGACTAGAACGGTGGCTATTCCATGCAACAGGCAAGGGGAGAGGTTCCATGAAATGGGCAGAGTTATATTATACTCTAGTTTGGGATTGTTGTGAAGAATTTTATTTTTATATTACATGTGAGTCACTTCAAGAGGAATTCCATGTGATTCCTGAGCTATGAATTTTCCCTGATGGTCCATGTGCTTTAAGGTTTTCATTTAAAAATTGCAGGTGTTTTATTCAGTGAGATTCAGCCAGGCAGGCACTCTATTGGCCACTGCCAATGACCCTCAGTAAAAAGAGTGAAACTGAGCTTTTAAAAACTTACAGTAGAGCAATCACATGAACTGTTTCTGATAGAACAATAAGAGGGTAAGATAATTGCTTGAAAAAAATATAGTTTCACTTTACCTCACAGGGTTGTTGTGGGGGAAAGTACTCCATAAAACCTAAAATACCTTGCAAATATAAATACCCTCTTCCTCAAGTTACTCACTTGTGTGATCTTGGTCAAGCCTCTTAGCTTGTCTGATTCTGACTTTCCTTAGTTTTTAGGTGATAATAATAACATGTGTTCTCGTTCCCAAGACTAATACGTAAATCAAATGAAATGATGAATGTGAAAGTGTCCTGTAACCTGTAAAACATTATACCTATGTAAGGTATTAATAATAATAATAATAAATAATAATAATAATAGCCATTACATAACTAAGATCTCCTGACAAATTCAGGCTAAAGGCAGAATGTTTGCCAATGAAGGTCCTTCCCATAGCATCGTCTTTCTCTAGAATATTGTCTTGAGTTCTTTTGATCTTCCCAAAGAGTTCAAGCTAATTGATGAAACTGGGCATAAGTCAGAGAGTAGAGTTTTCCATAAGAACTGTACAAGGCACCTGTTCATTTAATAATAGCTAACATTTATATAGCTCTTTCTATGTGCCAGGCAGCTAGGTGACACAGTGGATAGAGTGCCTAGGCCTGGAAGACCTGAGTTCAAATGTGATTTTAGACACTTACTAGCTATATGACCTTGGGCAAGTCACTTAACCCTGTTTGCCTCAGTTTCTTCATCTGTAAAATGAGCTAGAGAAGGAAATGGCAAACCACTCCTGTATCTTTTTCAAGAAAACCCCAAACGGGGTCATAGAGAGTCAGATAGGACTGAAACAACTTAATAACAACAAAATGTGCCAGGCACATTTACAATTATTATTTCATGTGGCCCTCACAACAACCTAGGGAGGTGGGTACTATTAGTATTAGTACTTTACATGGGAAACTGAGGCAAACAAACAGTAAATGATTTACTCAGGTTCACACAGCTAGTAAGTATCTGAAGCTGGATTTGAACTCAGGTATTCCTGACCCCAAGACCAGTGCTCTATCCTCTGAGCCACCTAGCTGCCATTTAAAATATAAAATCCTGCAAGTGTACACTTTGCTACAGAGAGCAGTATCCCAGCCCTGTCAAACAAAAATACCTGCTAATCGCATACCTACAAATGGCCCCATGACCAGGGATAATGTCACACTTTCCATCATTCAGGCAGAAATCGGGCTGTAGTTCACAGATACTCTGACAGGGCAGTTCTTGGAGACTCTGGTAACCAGGGTAACATACACATTCAGCTTCTCCACTCCAGCGGTTCACCACACACTCAGAAAATTCATTGCAAGCTTGGAACTTACAAGGGTCAGCTTGATCACCTGAAAATTCAAACAAAGCAGAAAAGGGAGCCTATTCAGTGAGGCTCCTAGAGCTTGTATTCCATTGGCCTGGCCTTTGAGGACCAACAGTCACCTCCATTCCACAGTGGGAATCATAGGATCCTAGATTTAGAGCTGGAAGAGACCTTGGAGTCATTGAGTTCCCACTACTTCATTTTACAGGGAAAGAAACTGAGGCTCAGAGAATTCATGCCATTTGATCAAGCTAGGGTAGTGACTTATTCACAGCAGCCAGGTAGGTGTCTTAGATGAGATTCAAACTCAAGTCTTCCTTATTCCAAGCCCATCTATTGGAGTAGGGCCTTAACAGGTAATTTTCTATTTTTCCTGGATCTGCGTCTCATCATAAGTAACTAGGTGGTACAGTAGATAAGGTGCTGGTCCTGGAGGCAAGATGACCTAAGTGCAAATCCAGTCTCAGACACTCACTAACCATGTGATCCTGGACAAGTCACTTAACATCTGTTTGCCTCAGTTTCCTCAACTGTAAAATAGGGATAATAACAACTCCTACTTCCCAGGGTTGTTGTGAGGATTAAATGAGATAATATTTGTAATGTGCTTAGCTTAGTTTCTGGCACATAGTAGGTTCTCTGTAAATATTTATTCCCAGGAGCAGCTAGGTGGTGCAGTGGATAGAGCACCGGCCCTGAAGTCAGGAGGACCTGAGTTCAAATCTGACCTCAGACCAAACACTTGACACTTACTAGCTGTGTGACCCTGGGCAAGTCACTTAACCCCAATTGCCTAAAAAAAAAATACTTATTCTCTCTCTCCCATCTTTCATTAGTATTGGTAACTCAAGATAAGGAGTTTCTTCTGCCTCTTTCTCTACAATTTATAGTCTCAGAGAGTTGTCTTCAAGCACTGAAATATTAAACAGTTTGCCCAAGTTTATATAATTATTATATATCAGAGGATTTGAACTCAAGTCTTCCATACTTCAGAGACAGCTTCATGAAATTCACCATGAAAGATTGCCTCACTCTGTGGGTAATATCCACAGGAAAACAAGAATAATGGAATTTTTAAAGCCAGAAAGGGCCTTATAGACTACCTAATCTAATCTCTTCATTTTTCTGGATAAGGAAATTTGGGCCTAGAAAAGTTAATGATTGCTTCAAGTCATCTAGTTAATCAATTTGTTAGTGATGATTCATGACAGCATCATTTATTGGCTCCCAACATAGCACTTTTCCCCACAGCTGCCTTCAGACATGACCTCCGACTTATAAATACTTTTTATTTTTCTTCCACTCAAGTCTTTCTCTAATGCCTAATGGTAGCCTAGAGTTGACATTAGGTTTTCAAAGGCAAAGTAAGCAGGGTGTAAACTCTGGAGAACGTACTAATCTGGATGGTTTTTCTTGTTCTGGTCCAGGCTTGTGATTTCATCAGAAAACGATGCTACTGATGAGGAGATTCTCTCTATAAAAGCAAATTACTATTAATTTTCTTAGAGAATTGCTTGGGGCAGTGATTTTCTCAGATCAATACAACCAGTATGGCTCAGGAGTAGGACTTCTACCCAGTTTGTCCTAACTTGAGACCAGCCCTCCATCCATTATGGATAAGCTTAGATTCTGGGCCTAGTGGTATCAATTATACAAGGACCAGCCTATCTAAGTTAGGAGAGGTTCATCACAAGTGGGACTGCAGCATAAGTTTTCAAAGTGGGTGATACCATTCCATGGGGGGTGCTGGGATGATCTGGGGGGGGGGGCAGTAGTAGCCTCTGGTGCAGTTGGGAAGCATTGAATAAAAACAAGGGGACAGTGGAAGTAAAAGGAAAGAAGAAAATTTTGGAAAACCATTCATACATACTTCATCTGTTGTGTAACAGAGTTAAAGATGTAGTGATTATATTATTTTCCAAATACGCACACAAAATGCAAGTTATAACCAGGTCAAGTCTGCTGATAGGTCTTAACAAGCAAGTGTTGGCAGGTGAGCATATAGCACATTGTTGGGAGGTCCAGCATGCATTGGCAGGAATATGTGCATGTAATGACTTGTTTATAATATGATACTATACAAAATTGCATGACACAATATTGCATCATCAAAATTTCAATGCAAGAAAAAACCCAAAAATTTGTAATAAATTATTAAATTTAAGATGCATCATTTTTTTAAAAAAATATATATTTTTTGAAATGATGCAAATTAAAAAAAAAAATTAAAGGGCTAAAGAAAGAAGATTTCCAGGGGAGGGCACTGAGTAATTTTTTAAAAGGGGGTAGTAGACCAAATAAGTTTGAGAACCTCTAGACTACAGGGTGATGTTTTTCCCATCACAGCAATTCTCAATGACCTTCCACTAAGAGAAGATATCCAAAGTTACAATCTGCATTGGTAAGAGGTTACCCATTCATAGGAAATTTTAAATCCTTGGATATGTAAGTATTTTAGCTTTTCAAAGTATTTCATATGCATTGTTTTATTCTGTTATAATAAGCCTACAAAGTATTCATAGCCACTACTGACAGATAAGTAAAGTGAGAGTCAGAGAAGCAAGGCCACATGTCTAATAAGTGTCGGAGCCAAGAATAGAATCCAGATCGTCAGAAAAAAATTTCCAGGCATTAAATCCATATACTGATCTGAAGTTTCTTCTACATTTTGGTTAATTCCAGGGTCATTATCATTGTTTTCAAATGGCATTGTATATAGCAGATAGAGAACCTAGCCTCAGAGCCATTATGACCTGTGCAAAAGTCATGCTTCTGACATATACTTGGCTATGTGACCCTGGGCAAGTCACTCAATTAAAAAATAAAAATGTTTTCAAATGTCACCTGATGCAGTTGAGTTCTAGAGAATTATTTTACATACTTGAGATAAAGAGAATGACTTCACTGAAGAAGTGTAATTAAAAACTTCCCTTAAAAGGATATACTGTTTCAACTCCCTCTCCTGGGCCAGGGAAATGAGTTTTGCATCATCCTTGTTCCCTGATCTTTTCCAAATCCCACTAAAGCCTAGGACCATGGAAACTGATTGCAGTGTTCTGCCTAAGAAATACACATAGATGTGTCCAAAGCAATCTTTACATGCTTTGAGATTTGAGCTTCATCTACCACTTGCCTTTTACAACCTTGCCCTCCTCCACCTCACCAGGCTCTATATTTCTCCCCACACTGCGTTTTGTGTCAAACATAAAGCGATATATTACAGAGAGAGAAAGCTGCTGTCGACTTCAGGCAGGATCCAGAAAGGCCACAACAACTTCTAGGGAGGCTAGATCATAACAAAGGGAAAAAAAAGGAATTTTGAGGGAGAAAAAAAAAACCCAGTAACAACAATAACCAACTGTGTGCAGCACCCTGATGTCATGTGACAACTGACTCTCACCATTTTAAAAATAACTCCAAGGATGACCTGGTGGTGGAAAGATCCTCCATCGTTACAACCTTTTCACCTTTATTTTTCCCCCTTCCCTGGTTGGGAATGCCCAGAACCCAAAAGGGCTGCTTTACTGTTCTCATGGCTTAGATAAGTTGGGAATCACCAACTCTATTCCTTCCAGTAAGATGGAAGCTTTACTATCTCCTCTGACACTGACTCTGTAAGGTCCCCCTGGACTTACCATCTGCCCTGCTTCCATGCCCTGTAAATGCCTAGCATTGCCATCTGGCCTAAAGACCCCCTCCACTTCATCCACAGGACTTTCAAGCCTTTCTATCCACCGGGAAGCAGAACTTTCATTTACATATTGCCTCCCCCAGTTAGAATGTAAACTCCTGAAGAGCAAGGCTTGTCTCCTGGTTTCTCTTTGCATCCCTAGCGCTTAGCATAGTGTATGATTTTTCATTCACTCATCATCCATTTGAAAAAAAATATCCAGAAAGAGGAAGCAGTGAAGGCAGTAACCAACTCCAAAAGACTCAGTATACTGATCAACATCCTTCTATCCTACTCTGGTTCTAGCACCTGTTCTTAGCAGGGGCCCATTCAAGTTCTGCTGCCTTGACAGTCTGTGGGAGCCCCTACCAAGACTGTCATCCTTGCAGGAGCCTATGAATGTGCTAAAGTACCAAGGGGATGGAAGATCAAGATTCCACTACGTGTTTTTACAATTCATTCCCTCACTCTTGAGTATTCCTTTCAAATGTTTGCAATTAGAAATTAAACCAGGTCTGAAATTGAGCCTTATGGAAAATGTCTGTAGTGTTTCTGAAATATATGACATAAACATAATAGGTATAAACCCCAAGCTCTTAGCTAATCTTGAGAAACTGATTATGCAAAAGTGCCCATAACCCAAAATACATATAATTACAGCAAATATAATATATTCCTGAATATAGGCTATATCCTTAAAATGAAATATGTCTAAAAGGAAAATTTGCATGTGCATCTACATATATACATATATGTTATATGTGTACATATACATATGATGCATATATACATGTATTATGATTTCTACCAAAAATAACATTTAATTACCATATCTTAAAAATAGTTTTGCTAGCAGTTTTTTTTTATGTCATTACATTTAAATAAAGATGCAACTCACTTTTATTGTCACTGCCATGATGACTTTGTCATTTTTATAGTGTTTTGAAAGCAATTAGAGGTAGCACTCTGGTTTTACATTTCATAACTAAAATGTTAAATGCACTGATTTATTCCATTTCTTGGTGAATATAATGCTTTATAAATAAATCAGGCCATTCAATTCAAACCATAAATACATTTGGTACAAACTATATAAAGTGCGGTGCTAGGTATTGAGGGAGATAACAATATATACGACAGACAATAGGTTCTTTGAGGACATAAACTATTTCATTTTTTTAGTTGTTTTTTTTTTTAAATCAAATATCCGGCACTAAGTAAATATGTTTAATTTTTTAAATGTTTTTTTAAATGAAGAGGAAGCAAGAATTCCATCTGGGGAGATCAAAGAAGGCTTCATGGTTGGAGTATCATTTAACCCAGACATTAAAGGATGGGTAGGATTGAACAGGCAGAGAAGGAGAAAGACATTCCAAGCAAGGGGGAAGCATTGGCAAAGGCCCCAAAGGATGGAGCACAGCCACTGAGATCACTTCCAACTCAAGGTCTAAGTCACTGTGTTCAAAGTGCATGAAGAATACTGGGAAATGATACCTAAAAGGTAGGATGAACTAAAATATGGGGAACGTCATGCTAAGAAGTCTGGACCACATTTGTCACTCAATCAACTAACATTTATTAATTTCCTGCCCTGTGCTAGGTATTGTGCTAAGCAAAAAAACAAAAACAAAAAAACAAACAAACAAACAAACAAAACCAGTCCCTGATCTCAAGGAGTTCCCAGTCTAATGGGGAAACAAGATGCAAACAACTATGTGTCAATAAGATCTATACAGGATAAACCAGAGGTAGTCTCAGAAGGAAGGCCCTAAGATTAAGGAAGAAAGTCTTGGAAAAGTTTCTTTCAGAAGGTCAGGTGTTAGCCAAGACTTGAAGGAAGGCAGAGGTGCCAGCAGGCAAATGTGAGGAGGAAGAGATTCCAGGAATGAAAAACGGCCAGTGAAAATGCTCAGTTAAGAGATAGTGTATCATGTGTGACGAAGAGCAAGGAAACCAGTGTCACTGGACTGCAGAGTATGTTGAGAGATATAAGGAGTAAAAAGATTAGAAAGGAAAGGGTCATGTTATCAAGGGTAAATGCCAGAGGATTTTGTATTTGATCCTGGAGGTAATAGGAACTTGAGTTTATTGAATGGGAGCGAGGGGGAGGGTGACATGACATGACACTTTAGGAGCAACAATTGGACAGCTGAATGGACAATGGATTGGAGTGAGGAGAGAGCTGAAGCAGGCAGACCCACCAGCAGGCTATTGCAATAGTCCAGGCTTGAAGTGATGAGGGTCTATACTAGACTGGTGGCAGTGTCAGGAAGTAGGGAAGCTTCCTTTGGTGATATGCATGGAGGAGGGAGAGAGGAGTGGACAAGATTACCATGCATTAAGAATATTGTTCTGGTGGCATGGGTCAAGGACGGATTGGGGGAGGAAGAGACCAGAGAAAGAGAGCCTAGCTAGAAAGGTATTGCAGTATTCTAAGAGACAAATAGTGCAGGTCTGAACTAAGAATGTGACAACAGAAGGAAGGGGAAAGTGGTCAAGAGTTTTGGAAGCAGAATTGATTAGACTCATCAAGTGAGTGGATGTGAGAGTGAAAGAGAGCAATGAATCAAAGGTTTCACTGAAGTTTCAAACATAAGTGATTGATTGATATAAGTGGAGTTTTTCAGTTAATTTTTCAATAACTTGAACAGGAGTGGGGAACCTACGGCCTCCAAGCCACATATGGCCCTCTAGGTCCTCAAGTGCGGTCCTTCACAGAACAAATCCACTTAATAAAAGGATCGTTCTGTAAAACTTGGACTTAGTCAAAAGGCCGAACCTAGAAGGCCACACGTGGCCTCAAGGCCAAAGGCTCTCCACCCCTGAAATAGAACAATTTATATTTCTTAAAAGCTCACTGAAAGATTATTATCGCTGTTTTTTTAATTAAAATAGTTGACAGGTCAACCAATATTTAATATTTTCTGATACATTTTACTGACAGATAAAAAAAGTGGCAGATTTTAATCACTGGCATAGAATAATCAGTATATACAGTAGAGAACATCAACTTCAATGCTGCTTTTCAGGATGAAACACTGGTGTCTTAGTGTTTGAATGGAGATATTTGAAGAAAGAGGACAAAGGTGAGGTTCCAGTGGGACATGCCAGTGGAGGATAGCATGGCATGGAAATAGTACTAGACCTGAATATTGGATTTGAAGAATTGCACCTGGATTAGAATCCTAGCTCTCATACCGACTAGCAGTATGACCTTGAGGAAATCACTTAACTTCCTTTGGCCACCATTTCCACATCTATAAAATGAAGAGGTTGGACGAGGTGATTTCCAAAATCCCTTTCAGCTCTAAATATTAGAGCATGTTTGTCAACAGAGGGGGAAAAAATCCATGGAAAAGGAGATATTGAAGATTTGAGAGAAAGGGGATAACTGAAGGATCAAAGTCCTAGAGGATATGGGCAGCAATAACCTTAAGGATGTAAACAGAGAAGTCTTATAAGGAGAAGGTAAAAGTCTTCCTCATAAAACACAGTAAAGTAGAGAAATGTGATATGGAAAGGAAGGAAAGTAAGAATATTCCTATCAAATGGCCTCCATCTTATTAGTAAAGTAGGAAATGAGGTCATCTGTTGATAATGAAAGGGTAGCGTGGCCCTGGGGGATTGAAAAGAATGAAAAAGCAACCAGAAGGAGATGAGCACATTTGACTTGAAACTGGGAGATGGGCTAGGTCATTTCCTCTGCTCTTAATGGGTAATGGATTGGTCTTTCCTCGTGTCAGAGGCCATCTGCTTCCTTCCAAGGCAAATAACAAAACTTTCTCCATAATTACCTTGAATGAAGAAAGAACTGAAAACATGAAGTTTTTAAAATAGAACAAATAATTCTAGTCCAGCCAATCCTCCGTATTCCGACCCAAACCCATGATCTCTTTTGATGTGGAGGGTGGCAGTGTGGAAAGGGCAGCACAGGGATGATGGATGAAATTCTAGGATCCAATATCATTTTCTGTATCCATGTGTTCAGACTTGACTCATGTTCTATCACCAATGGGTAATGGCAACTCACTTTAAGTTATCCTTAAAAATAACAACGCAATGATTAGCTTGGATCATGTTTTTATGACCCTTTTTTATGCTCAACTTCTCTTCAAAGGAAGCACTTACACAGTTTATATGGAATACTGGGCAGCCATTGCATCTTCACCTCTGCCTCCTAAAATCACTAGCATCCTTCATGGTTCAGCTCAAGTGCCATACCCTACGGGAAGCCTATCCTGATGCACCCAATCACTAGTGTTTACCCTCTGGTAATATATACTTTATAAATATTTCATATATATACACATATTTCATATATATATGTATATATTTAAATATATTCTTTGTATATATTTCACATTTTATTTTCTACGTACATGTTTTCCCCCAGTAGAATGTAAGCCAATATCTTAGTTCAGGTCCTTGGATTATTGCAATGGCCTCATGCTTGGTCTCTCCCTGTTCTAAATTATCCTACAAATAGCTACCAAAGTGATTTTCTTTAAGCATAGATCTGACCATGTTACTTCCCTACTCAAACAACCCTAGAGGCAGTAGACTATTGCTTCCAGGTTAAAATATAAACTCTAATTTTTAAAGCCCTTCACGATCTAGCCCCAATCTATCTCTCTGGCCTCACTGCACATTAATTCCCTTCCCACACTCTACATTTCAACCAAACTGGCTTTTTTTCTGTTCTTCACACATTGCACTCTGTCTCCAGCCTCTGACTCTGCATTACCTGCCCTGCATGCCTGGAATACACTCACCTTTCATATCTACCTCATTGAACTCTTCAGTTCCTTTGAGACCCAGATCAAGTACCACCTTTCTGAAACCTTTCCTGATCCCTCCAGGTGCTGGTGAACTTCTTCCTGAAGTATTTTGTATTTAACTGCCTGGCATGGATTTTGTATTTATTCTGTATGCACTTACATATGAACATGCCGTTTCCCCCAGTAACATGTAAGCTAACATGTAACATGTAAGTAACATGAAAACCAAGGATTCTGTCACTTGTTTTTATATTTCCAGTACTTATTAGCGTGACGTGTGGCACAGGGGAGGCACTTAATTAATTAATGCTAGTTGATCTTAAAGTGAACTCTTCATTTCACACATTCACAGGAAGTTAAGTAGTAAAGAGATTATCATTAGCCACCAGAGGCAGCTAGGTGGCTCAGTGAATAGAGCCCTAGAACTGGAGTTGGGAAGACCTGAGTTCAAATCCTACCTCAGACACTTACTAATTGTGTAACCTTGGGAAAATCACTTAACTTCTGTTTGCCTTAGCTTCCTCAACTGTAAAATGGGGATTGTAATAAAGCCTACTTCCCAGGATTATTGTGAGGGTCAAATGAGATAATATTTGTAAAGCATTCAGCTTTACAAATAAGTACTTGTTTCCTTGCTTCTTTATCCATGAGAAGTACATCAACTTCTATGGACACAAGAGAGCCATTGGTTTCCAGGAAGAAGCTATATGGCCAAGAACCAAATACACTCAATGTATCCAGCATAGACTATTCCACTGGTGGTATAGCCTGTGCTGGACAAATTAGAAAGACATGAGGAAGACAGGCGAGGGAACGTCACTGTGGAATGTTGTGTATACTGCTGTCAAATGCAGTCATGATTTTTGTTTAACTGTTTTTCTTTTTCTCTTTTTTTAGGCAATTGGGGTTAAGTGACTTGCCCAGAGACACACAACTAGTGAGTGACGAGTGTTTGGTCTGAAGCTGGATTTGAACTCAGTTCCTCCTGGACTTCAGGGCCAGTGCTCTATCCACACTGCACCACCTAGCTGCCCTCTTAACTGTTTTTCTTTATACAATGGAGGTCCCACTGATTGGTATGAAGACATCCCCAGAAATGGCTATGATATAAAAATAAAAAACCATCATTAAGGAAAAGGGAAGGGAAAAAGCATTTATATAGTGCCTACTATGTACCAAGCACTGTGCTAAGTGCTCTACAGATATCTCATTTGATCCTTAAAACAACCTATGACATAGGCACTCTTGCTGTCCCCACTTTACAGCAGAAGAAAACAAGATAGACAGAGGTCAGGTGAATTGTCTAGGGTCACACAACTGGTAAGTGTTTGAAGTTGAATTTGAATTTGGGTCTTTCTGACTCCAGACCCAAGATTCTATCTACTGTGCCACCCAGTTGCAATAAAATTCATCATATAAAGAAACTAAGCCATACAAGTCACTATTGCATTGTCTTAGAGCCTCATGATCAGAATCATTACCTGATTCCACATCCAGGGAATATTTATCAATGGCTAGGTTCATGGTTTGGTAGGCAGTGTTGCAGAAGTCTTTCAGAATTGTATATACAGCATTGTTGACATTGTGAGGTACGGGTTTAGCAAACTTCACCCGGCTGTTCACCACGATGCTGCCATTTCTGAAGTTCAGGATTTCCAGATTCTGGAATCCAGTGAGATTTGATTGAAGATAGGGAACTAGCTACCATTCATGAGAAATAAGAACAAGTTTATGAACAGGAAACTTACACATTTTTCCCCAATGACATTCCCAACATTAATCAGCTGCTCAAATGCTGCAGCACTTCTCCAAAAGATATATGGCACTCAAGAATACTACAGCTTGTAAAATAATCTTCGTATATTCTGACCTCCCTTGGCTTATACTAAGGAGTCAAATTTAAGTATAATGATATTAAAGACATTGTTATTCCTGGGGATTGACCTCACCACTTTAAATATCACTTTCAAAAAAAAAAGCTCATTTGAAACCTAGAGTTCCTGGGGTGAAGGCCTTAGATCACTAGCTCAACTTGCCACACCTGTGCCAAATGTGCACTTTCCTTGTCTAATCATTTTTCCCCACCCTCAACTTAGAATGTTATCTATAGATGATGAATAATAACTGACAACAACAAAAGTTCTTCCTTTCTTGGTGCAAATATGTATGTTATGTGTATTTATAAGTGTGCCCACACATTATATTTTACTTACAGTCTTACCAGTTCTAAGAATCTTTGTTCTAGCGCTTTATACTCAGGAGAGTTTTTGTTAAACAGGTCCTCTGAAAACAGTATGTTCATCACCCGCAAGCTAAAGAAGACCACCAGAGGGCCTGTTGTCTGGGAGTAATTTGGATAGGCTCTCTGTGTGGGCCAAACAACATCAGCTCTCTCAGTGGAGGGCAAATTAGTAGATATTTCCACGTGGCTACCAACAATGCTACTGTCTTCTTGGTTGAGTGCAGGCTGGTAGTATCTTGTGCCCACTTGGTCCAGTTCCAATGAAATGTCCTGTACATCCATAATCACATCATCCTCCAGCTTCGTGGAGCTGAGGGTTGGAGAGAACTTGGTGGACTCAGAAACGGAGACTCTAGACAGGAGGGTGACAATATTCTTTGCTGTACTTGCCATTATGTCTTGGGCTGGTCTCCCTAGGGAGGAAGTTGTTGACTGAATTACATCTAGGGTGGAAAGCCTAGTCCACAAAGGTCCCATGCCTGACTTTCCTGTTGAAATGTCTATATCAGATAGTTCTGTATTAGATGACTCTAAAATTTCAATTGGCTTCGGTTCTTTGGAGGATTCTATCTTTTCTAGTCTATCAGTAGAAGCAGAGGTGATTGTAGATTCTGATGCGAAGGGTGGTTTGGGAACAAAATAATGATCAATGGAGGTTGCCTCTGATGTGCGCATTGAGAGATACACAGGGACAGATTGAGTTGTGGTAACTCCAAAGATGGAACCATTAGCCCTAAGGGCAGCTTCAGACTCATCAAAAAGCCCCCCTGCTTTATCAATTGTGGCTCTATCTAGCTTCTTCTCTTTGCTCTCAATTGGCAAAAGTGATTCCTCATTTTCGAGCCAGGATTCAGAAGGAGGTTCAGTGCCATGATGCAATGAAGGTTTGCTCCACGGCCAAGTAAGGGCCTCTTGCCCAGATCCTGAACCTGATTGGTCTTCAAATAAGGGCCTACTTTCAGGGTATATTTCTGGCTGAAAAATGCTCACTTCTAATTGATCCTTCTCTGGGGAAGCCAAAGGATCCAAGTCAAAAGGTGTAGCAATTTCTATGGCAAGAGAATCCAATATGGATGGAGAGGTCAAAGTTGATAAAGAAGTCAAAGGCAACTCAGAGTCATCTATGGATGGCGTTGGCACAAGATGAGAGGGTGGATTTGAAGTCAATAGAATGAAAGAAGAAAAACCTTCTGGCTCTTCCACGCTTCTTAGTCCTAAAAATAAAGTTTTCCATTAATTGTAGCTTATGTTTAATTTCTGCATTCTATTCCTGGTTCTCTGAAAATGGTTGCCCATCATGTTTTTCTCATCAAGTTATCAGGGTCAGTGGCTGGCTTTGACTTTGCTAAATTCAGCAGCCAACAAGAGGAACAATGGTGCTTGTGAATACAACCTGATTCTCCCTGAGGGGGATGACCAGAGCTTGTTCACTGTTAAAGCAATTTATCTTCAAATGCTTGCTCTTTTACCCCATAAAAACAGAGAGGTGCTGAAAAGCAGACTGACCAGAAAGAAATTGAATCTAAATAGGAACTTAGAAGGAAAATTCCCTAAGAAATTTTACCTGTCACTGAGTGGTTCAGTTCACTGATTCCCAAATTCTCTATTGCTGTCACTGGCAACCACTATCTTCTGAGTCCTCAAATTCGAAAATCTTGAACCATGTTTTTAACTTCTCTTTGTCATCCTCCTCTTGCTCATTGCTACTCTGTCACTGTTAAGCTGATTCTTCCCCAACAATGTCTCTCAAACCTAGTCTTTCCTTTTGATTTCTATATTTCCTACAATCCTAAATCTAATCCCATTCTCCGATAAGTTTATGCCTGGATCATCGCAATAGATTTCTTGTTAGTTATCTCCCTACTTCTAGTTTCTCCCCCCTCCAATTCATCCAGTGGCGCAATGCTAGTCTTAGGGTCAGGAAGACCCTTGTTCAAGCCCTACCTCTGACACTTAGCGGTAGTATGACCATTTTGCTGTTGTTGTTCAGTTCAGTCACTCTTCGTGACTCCATGTTGCCATTTCCTTGGCAAAGATACTCAAGTGGTTTGTCATTTCCTTCTCCAGTTCACTTTACAGATGAGGAAACTGAGACAAACAGGCTTAAATGACTTGCCCAGAGTCAACAGCTAGTAAGTATCTGAGGACAGATTTAAACTCAAGAAAATCTTCCTGATTAAAAGTCCAGTGCTCTATACACAGTGCCACTTACCTGCCCTCTAATCAAATCCTCCACTCTCACCAAGTTAATTTAATTTCTGTCCCCCTTTCACAGGTTTCTCTATCTGTCTATACTGCCCTTCACATGCCACTTTTCCTCAAGGAATGCTTTCCTCTGCCTCTTTCCACTGTTGCTTCCTGCTTCTCATGCAAGACAGAGTTACTAATAAAGTTTGGAAGAAAGTGCAATGATAGAATTACTCACCATCATCTAATAAATCAGGTCCAGAAGTCCATTCCTCAGGAGCCACAGGCAAGCCAGTCTGAGGCACTGCTGGGGTGACAGAATGAAGAGTGAGGCTGCTACCCTCTAAAACATCTGGGGGAGAAGTGGAACCCACCTTCGAGGGAAGGGGTAATTTTGATGGAGACACTAAATCTGCTGGAGGGCTTTCTGATTTTGACCAGAGCTCACTGCCAGTGGATGAAAGAGCCCCAGAGATGAAACCTGGTTTGGTGAAATCAAGTGGTGAACTACTCCTGGCAGTTGATTCATCTGCTGAGGGCCATTCAGCTTGAAGGGTATTATCCTGAGGGGAAAAAAAGGCTGAATCATATCTTAGAGAAAATAAACACAGAAGGAAGAGTGAAAGTGATGCCTGCCTAATTAAATTTCCTTTCCTTTCTGAATTTTTTTCATCATAAAGATAGTTTTGATATGTTGTTAAAACAAAGCCTACTGAACTGCAATTTTGTACTTATGGTGAGCTACAGTTAAAGAACTAAGCATATAATCACAGCAAGGGAGACCAATTAGCAAAACTGCATCATCTTGAGGCGTAGTTATTGGGTTTTCTTTCTTTTGAAATAAGGAGATTAGGCTCAACAATTCCTAAGGAACCTTTTAGCTCAAATATTCTAGGATTCTATTCTATTTATAATTCTTTCCATTGCACCATGCTACCATCACATAAGAACTGACCATTTTACTGAAGTCATTTATCTTAATATTGTTCATTATGATTGTTGCCCTTTGTTCTCAAAGAGGACCGAAATGACGTCACTATGCTAGAGTCAAGATATAGCATGTCCTACTGTGGCTGATCAGACCAATACAAACTTGGAAGTCTCTTCCACAGGCCGGGTACAAATAGTTTACATGAATATTTAGAGTGGAAATGTCTCTATATTTGTGCATCTCTTATTTCTTACATATATATGTAAATATGTATTCTGTATCTACACATGCATATACATATATACATGTATGTGAGCATGTATGTATATACATATTCACACATTTGGTTCACTAACCAAATTTTCCTTTTAACTACCAAAAAATGCATTAAGTATTCTTCAGACACATAAGAAAAGTATGTGCTTGTTTAAAAAAAAAAGTCCACCTTGCTATAACTGGGGTGTGTGTGTGTGTGTGTGTGTGTATGTGTGTGAGTGTGTGAGCCCAGGCAAAAGAGGAAGAGGTTTTCTGTTGAGAAAAGGAGAAAAAAAGTTTAGAGGTCCTCTTCATTTTCTCTCCATTTTCCCTTCACAGAACTGGAAAGAGTAAACCTATTCAGATTTTTTAATGGAAAACAAACGTGTCAAGGACACAAGGTGGGCAACCTGTAAAGACGTGATGATAATAACTATACTACAATAGCTTAAATTCATACAGAACTTAAAAATTACAAGGTGTTTTCTATACACCATTTCAGTTGAGACCCACAATAATCAAAGTTTGACAAGGCATTTGTGCACCCAAAACCAGATTTGAAAAATGAATCTCCTGCATTTTATTGTCCAACAGAGACAGAGTAATTGCTGTCATGTGCATCTTGGCTTATCAAAAACAAATTCCTTTACCCCATGGAGGATCATATTTTTCAGCACTAAAAAATGTACATTTATTAAATACATATGTACATAATATATTTTTCTGTATCCATTTATGTTGTGCCCTAAGAGACCGCCCACCTTGCTTATCTCTGAACTCGGTTCCAAATATTATTAGCTTCATTTTAAAGATGAGGACACTAAGGCATAAATAGGATAAATGACCATAAATGACCTGCCCAAGCCCTCTTAGCCAGTAAGTGATAGAACCAGACTCAAACCCAGCTCTTTTGACTCCAAATCTAGTGCCTTTTTTTTTTACATCACAGCTGAAGTGGGTATTAATATAATGAAAATACATCATGATACCATAGATGTATGTTTCTTCTAAAAAAAAAATAGGACATTTCTTTTCCATTAAACTATTTACCTATCCACCCCTCTCCAGTTGTATTAGGTATATTTTTACATCTGTAGGTTTAATACTCATATTTTTGCCTTGTAGGTAACTTATGTTGTTACAACTGTAAATACGTACTTCTGAAAAATTTACTGAGCGCAAGTTATGAAATGACTCCTATACTAGGAAAATTACTAAGTCCTCAATGAAAGCAAGCCTCTCCAAGTAGTAGATGTTTCCCCTCTCACATTTTTATGTATGCTTATTATTCTAAATGTCCATTAACTAAATAACTTGGCATTAACAAAAAATTAAACAGTAACCATTTTACTGATATAATACAAGAAATATTAACAAACAGGCAGAATAAAATATTAAAATAGCTAATTGTGCCTTTATTTTTGAAAGAATGAATGTCTGTCATTGGTGGCATTGAGCTCTTCCTATGCATTGAGAAAGGTGAATAAATACTTGCCAAGAGTTGCACCTCATCATTTGTTTATGGATAGATGTTCCTATGGTAACAAATTCAACTCAATGCATTATATTAGCATTATATTAGCAAGTTTAATATTATATTGGTCAGTTTCACATTTGCTAATGCCATCTAAAAAGCATACTAATGCTAGAGAATGCATTAACAAATTATTTTCCAACATATGGTGCCAGTGAGATGTCAAATCCAATATTCCCAACATGCATTCTCCCATAATATAAAAAAATTAAAAATAGAAAGCCTTTTCTATAAAAATTAAAATTGAATCTAAATTTCACTGGTGTTATTTATAGAATAAAAATTGAAATAACAATTTTCAAAATAAAATAAAATAATAAGGTCAATATTACACCATTACTCTGGTGCCTTATTGTGGGGTAGATGTGACTCTGTGTCTATCATTCAAGGACCTAAGTCTGAAGAAGTTTATCACTAGAAGTTTGGCAGTTAATGTTGGGGCCACAGCAACTCACGAAAACATCTAAGAGATGAATGCGTTGTAATATACATCGAAAAGACTATCCCAACTAATGGAATCATGGCTCCTTCAAGTACTGAAATATAACAAAGTAAATGCCTCCAGACATTTTGTTGGGGAAAGAGAAAAATTTTTAAATGAACATTTCCTTAGTCTGGTTGATACACAAGCATTTGTTAAGCACCTCTTAATATTTACACGGTAGGCATTGAATATACAAAGACAAAATGATAAGCAAAGCTTGCCCTCAGAAGGGAGATACATTCTACAGGATTCACAGTTTTCTCTTTTTTCCCCCAACTAGTTATATATCTCTTCATATGTCTCATTCTGCCATTCAGCCAGTTATCACCACTTAAAATGCAAAAGGCTCAACACAAGAGGACTAAAACTCTACCTCATGCTTTTGAAATGTCACCAGACCATAACACTTCTCTAGCTGGAGAAAGCCAGAGGTTTTAGCATGACTAGCAGAAACAGAGAAAAGAAGTATTATATCCCCTTATATCAACGCTCTTAACCTTTCTTTCCCTTTGTAAAGTGCAGCCCAACCATATCACAGCCATCACTGAGGGGAGAAATCATGGTAAAGAAGGGGCCCACTTTCCTCATCACCACTAGCACCAGTTGCTGCCCAACTGTTACCAATATGTGGGTAAGTGCAGGCTCACTGGGGGTGGCAGTGGCAACCCTTAGATCACCAATCCTTCTTTAACCCAGCCCTCCCAGCCATTGTCTGGGGAGGCAATTTCTATGGACGACGTGGTTCACTACCAATGCCAAAGGAGCTCTTGATTCCTATCACTCTCCATCTTGAAAGCCAAGCAGGTCAAACCACCACCACTTTATCCATTATCTTCCCTCAGATGCTGGTGGAGATAACCCAGGACCCTGAATTCAAGAACCATTGAAATAGCAATGCTTCCAGTTCAATGTCAAATGGTTCAACAGCAGAAACTGATATAATTCTATCAGTGGAAGTGACATTAAAGAAGAGGAATTACCCTCTGCTTTGACTGAACCCTAAGGACCACAGGACCGTTCCATCTGACTTAGAGCTGAAACTTTCCATGTGTGTTGTCTGTCCTCATTAAAATATGAGCTCCTTGAGAGCAGGGACAGTTTTCTCTTTTTTTCCCGCAACTAGTTATATATCCCTTCATATGTCTCATTTTGTCTTATTTTTTATTTGTGTCGCTGGTACTTTATGCATAGTAAGTGCTTAATAAATGTTTCGTTCAATAATTCTTTGTAAGCAAATATTCTTGTATGCTAGAACAATAATCTATCTTTCTAGCTTAAGAAAATAAATTCAGTTTAGCTTCTAGTAAACTCTTGACAACATAATTGTAGATGGAGTACATGCATGCACGTGCATGCGAGTACACACACACACACACACACACACACACACACATCTAAAAACATACCCTCACATATTGAAGGTGAAAGAGAGGAAAAAGAAGCACAAGTTATAGAAAATTGCATCCTTGGGAATAAGAACTTAGCCATAAGAACCACGATACAAGAGGGTGTCACCCCTTTCACTCTTGAAAACCAGACAACAGCAACAGCAAAATTTAAATGAGATGTAAGACCAACAAAATATGAAAGTAAAACAACAAAGGAAACAATAATCTATTATTATGACTAGGAAAACTTCATGAGGAGCTCTTGCAGAAATACTCAGAGGGCACAACAACAAAAATATTGGCAAGCAAACGTGAATCAGTGTTTCTCACCACATGGTAAGACGAACTTAATGCAGTCCCAAGGGTTGTCCTAAAATACTAGACTAAAAAGGTTGGGGTACAAGTAGGGGGCCCAGGTACATAGATGGTGTAGAAGAACACTTACAAGGATCAGGGGTGGAGACACCAGAAGGCTTGGGTTTTCAACATTCCAAAGTGGGTCTTCAGTTTCGGGAAAGAAAGCATCTTTCACTAAAGAAAAGAGATATTGAAGAACATTTCTAGTTGACATGGTCTTCATTCACTTGAGGAACTATCATGTGGAAAAGTATAAGATTCATTCTGCTTAGCTTCAAAGGGTAGAACTATATGTAAAAGGTGAAAGATGCAAAGAAGTAGATTTGGGGGCTCAACACTAAAGGTAAACTCCCTTAAAATTAAAACTCTCCAAAATATAAGTGGGCTGATTCACACCCCTCAACCCCCATCCAATCAGTGGTCAAGTCCTGTCATTTCTACCTAATAACATCTCTCATAAGTGAACCGTCACCCTAGTGCAGACCCTTGTCACCTCACACCTGGACTATTACCATAGCCTGCTCCTTGGATATCCCTGCCTCAAACTCATCCTCCCCTCACCTCTCAAACTGATCTTCCCAAGCACAGGTCTGACCCTGTCAGCCCCTATTCAGGAAATTCCAATTGTTTCCTATTCCCTAAAGGATCAAATATAAAATTATTTATTTGGTTTTTAAAGTTCTTGATAAGCTGGCCTCTTGCTAATTTTCCAGTCTTGTTACACCTTACTCTGCCCTCCATAGTGTGTGAACCAGTGACACTGGGCTCACTGCTGTCCTTCACATAAAACACTCCATCTCCTAACTGCATTTTAATGACTATCCCTCGTCCCTGGAAAGCTCTCCTCATCTCCACCTCCTCGCTTCCCTGGCTTCTTTCAAATCTCAGCTGAAGTCCCACCTTCTACAAAAAAGTCTTTCTCCTTTATCTTAAGGTCTTGTTTGAGACCAGCCCCATTTTACCCTCTATACATTTTGCGTCAACACAACTGTTCGCATACTGTCTCCCCTATTAAACTGTGGGCTCACTGAGTTTTGTTGTTGTTGTTGTTGCTGTCTGTTTGCCTGCTTGCTTGTTTTTGCCTTTCTTTATATCCCCAGTTCTAATCATAGTGTCAGGAACATAAATGTTAGTTGACTTAGGGGATTCCCCTCAAACCGCTGTCCGCTTGTCAGTTATGTTGTAGAAGAGATTTTTGTTCATATAAGGGTTGAAGTAGATGTTCTCAGAGGCCCCTTCCAACCCTGAGATTCTGGGGGAGGGAGAAGGAATAACTGTACAAAATTTCTATTGTATTTGGGATAAATGGCCCATGAGATCATAGATTTAAAGTTGGAAGGGACCCTCGAAGCTATTTAGTCTACCAATACCCCACCCATTTTACATATGAGGAAACTGAGGTCCAGAGAGATTAAAAGACTTAACCCGAGTAACACAACTGGTAAGTATCTGAGGTATATATCTTTCCCTGCCAGTCCTATGTTCACTCTCTTGGTTCTAGGTTGAAACTGCTGTTCCTTAAGTTACTTGAACCTAGACTTGGGGGCCCTATATGCTCCTATATTCTAACATCTCAGACATTTATTAACTGTGTGACCCTGGACAAGTCACTTAAATTACTGATCACCTAAATTTGCTTATCTGTAAAATGGGGATAATACTCGCACTTAGTTGTCATGAGGATAAAGTGAAAGAACATTTGCAAACCTTAAAATGCTATATAAAAGCTAGCCATTATTAGCTATTATTTTTCCCTGGGCTCAAAAGCCAATAAGACTTTGTCTTCAATATTTTCCTTTACTTAGTTAATGTGCTTCTCTGGTTTTCCTTGAATCCCCCAGGGGTCAAGAACCTGCAGTCTCAAGGCCACATGTGGCCCTCTAGGTCCTCAAGTGTGGCCCTTTGACTGAATCCAAACTTCACAGAACAAACCCCCATAGTAAAAGAATTTGTTCTGTAAAACTTGGACTCAGTCAAAAGGCCGCACCCAAGGATCTAGAAGGCCACATGTGGCCTTGAGGCCACAGGCTCCAAATCATACTCTTATCTTCTCCTCAATTCTCAAGTTATCTATTTCCCTAATCATTTCCTTTAGTCTCATACCTCTTCACTCCCTTCAAAGTTTTTTGCCCATGGGTAGCCCACTTTTAATCTGTCTGAGGTATTAGTATTTCTAAAGCCCAATTTGCATTATTATCATTATTAACACTCAGATTCACATATGATACATTTTGGAGATACTGGTTTTAACTACAGAGCTCCTGAGAAAGATACTAAAGATATGTACACGGATTGTCATAGTTGTCATCCTCCTTACCATTGACAATCTGAAGGGAGTCAAGATCCGGCTTCAGGGAAGAGTTTTCCAGTAAGAAATTCCTGGTGAAGCTTTCAGCAATGTAGTCTCTGAAGTGGCTGACTGTATACACACCAGTGGGCTTATCCTCACGTTCCACAAGGCCATGGTTTTCTACTTTGTTCGAATGAAGGTTAATCATTTCCCAGGTAATGTTACTGATAGCCTCACTGTCAAATGTGACAGCATAATGAACATCGATGCCACTGAGGTTAAAAAAGAAGAAAAGAAGTCTGCTTATGCCCTGCTCATGTGCATCTAACACGAAGGGAGAGATTAGTTACTAGGACATTCCTCTTGTCAATAGTGCTATTCCCTAAAGAAAGGCAGTCACTGAGACATAATAAAAAGAAGGCACACTGAATTTGACAATCAGGAGATCTGGGTTTGAATTCTGGCTCTGCCACTTGCTATCTATATGACCTCAGACAAGCTACCAGGCCTCAGTTTTCTAATCTGTAAAATGGAAGCTGGAGTAGATGATTGAAAATGTCCCTTCTAACAATAAATACTAGAATCTACCAAAGAAACAAAATATGTAGGTTTCACTCCCAGCACCATATAGACCTTCTGCATGCCTTTGACCAAGTGCTTTCTCTCCTTATTCCTTAATGCAGTCCACTCAATGCTTGACAAGGTCTAACTATGTTTCCCAAAACACTAGAAATTATGACTCCAAAAAAATTGGAGAAGCTCTGAGGAGGCTCCAGTAACTGCAACTGAAGTGATCCAAAGAGAACCTTTCCCCCACCGCCACACTATCACCATGGTGTTCTGACTTTTCCCTACCACCACATGTACTGGGCCTCCTAGATAACACCTAGATATCATACCTAATCCTATCATCTCCTGTCTCTTAAAATCACTAGCTTTTTTTTTCTTTCTCTGTGTATCAACTTCTCATCTCCTCTCCCTTCTTTAATAAGATAAAAATCAAAGAAAGATGTTTTGATTCTTCTCCCTTTATCAGTACTATGAAAATCTACCCTGCCTCTTTTTGATGTAGGGAGGATATAAACCATGTGAAAGCCATGGAACAAAAAATTTTGAGAATTACCTGTCATAGCTTACTGTAACTATATATCTCATGATGCCACAGCTAAATGAACATGGAAGGTTGGGGAGGGGGAACAAAAAGAAAACCAAAACCCAGCAGGAGACAATGAGTTGTCTTTACATTTTCTCATTTGCCAATCTTTAAGTGACATGCCATATAAAGGTAATAATCCCTTTAGTGAAAAAAGGGATTACACTGAAAAAGTAACACTGATACAGTTGACCAATTACTTTTAAAATAATTAATATCAAACAATGAATAGAAAATCCAACCCTTCTCTACTCATCCTGGCTGTTGAGCCAGGTTCTGTGACAGTGAGATCTAATGTCTATAAGTCAACAAATAATACATCATTGTTTTTTGCCATGTTGTGAATTATAAGGTCTTTATCCCAAGATCATTTGTTGATGAAGAGTTTAATAGCATATAATTAAAATGAATAAAACATCAGATTAATGCTAATAAAATTGTGTTCGAACATTCTAAGAATCTGTGATGCTGAGTTGTAAGCTCTACTTTATAACAGAATTCCTTCAATTATTCAAAAATTTAAGAACCTTTTGTCTGAAGAGCATTGAGCAAGGAGCTGGAAGACTGTGTCTATATCCATAATATGCTTTGCTTTCATTGAGGCAGCTGAGGCTATCTTATTTTGCCAAGTGAATATGCTGATTCTTGCTTAAAAGATAATCCTCTTTTCTAAAGAGATGAAACTAGCCTGCAGCTCTAAATTATATTGGCAAAAGTCACCAAGGAGGAAAGATGGAAGAAGAACCTCTCACGTATTAGTCTCACTCACTCAGGCATATACCTCACTTAAGAGCTATTCCCTTAAGGATACAACTGTTCCTTAAATCTATGTGCCTTACTTAATTCACATAGATAAGCAAATTAAATTTGTGCCAATTGAGTATATTGTGCAACTAGCTTTGAAGTATTTCATTTGTGTATAAGATTAAAATATTTCACACACACAAAAGCATGCATTTAATAAAACTTCTCCAGCTTTCTTTTTTTAATATTTGATTTGTTTCCAGTTATATGTAAAACTATTTTTAACATTGATTTTTTAAAATTTTGAGTTCCAAATTCTCTCCCTCCCTCCCATCTCCCCTCATTGAGAAGGCAAGCAATTTGATATAGTTTATACATGTGCAATCATGCAAAACATATTTCCATATTAGTCATGTTGTGAAAGAAAACAAACAAAAAAAGGAAAATAAAGAAAGTGAAAACAAGTATGCTTTGATCTGCATTCAGACTCCAGTTCTTTTTCAGGAGTTGAATAGCATTTTTTCATAAGTCCTTCAGAATTGTCTTGGATTTTTGTATTGCTGAAAATAATTAAGTCACTCACAGTTTATCGCTGTATAATATTGCTGTTACTGTGTACGCTGTTTTCCTGGTTTTGCTCAATAAATTAGTTCATGTAATACTGCAGGTTTTTCTAAAAGCTTCCTAGGTATTATTTCTTATATCACAATACTATTCCATCACAATCATATACCACAATCTGTTTAGCCACTCCCCAACTGATAGGCATTCCCTCAATTTCCAATTCTTTGCCACCACAAAAAGAGCTGCTATAAATATTTTTGTACATATAGGTCCTTTTCCTTTTTTTAATTTCTTTAGGATACAGACCTAGTAGTGGTATTGCTGTGTCAAAGGGTATGCACAGTTTTATAGCCCTTTGGGGATAGTTCCAAATTGTTCTACAAAATGGTAGGACCAACTCACAACTCCACCAACAATGCTTCAGTGTCCCAATTTTCCCATATCCCCTCCAACATTTGTCATTTTCCTTTTCTGTCATATTAACCAATCTGATAGGTGTGAGGTGGTACCTCAGAGTTGTTTTAATTTGCCTTTCTCTAATCAATGGTAATTTAGAGCATTTTATATGACTATAATTTGATTTCTTTATCTGAAAACTGCTTGTTCATATCCTTTGACCATTTATCAATTGAGGAATGACTTGTATTCTTAGAAATTTGACTCAGTTCTCTACATATTTGAAAAATGAAATCTCAGAGAAATTTGCCATGAAATTTTTTTTCACAACTATGATTATTGTTTATTTCCTTCCACCCTATTTTTCCACCATTTATCCTTCTTTTTCCTTTCATCCTGTTTCTCCTCAAAAGTGTTTTGCTACTGACCACCACCTCTCCCAATTCACTCTCTTTCTATCAGCCCTCTCCCCCCCAGGTTTTAGCCTCTTCCCCTCCTGCTTCCCTGTAGAGTAAGATAGATTTCTATTCTCAACTGAGTTTGAATGTTATTCTGTCTTTAAGCCAATTCTGATGAGAGTAAGGTTCAAGTATTGTCTGCCACCTCCCCCCATCTTTCTACTGTAAAAGCTCTTTCCTGCCTCTTTTACCCCACTTTACCTCTTATTTCTCCCTCCTCTCAGTGCATCCCTCTTTCTCACCTCATAAGTTTCATTTTTTAAAGATATCATCCTATCATAGTCGTCACACCGATGCCCTCTATGTATACTCCTTCTAACTGCCTTACTAATGATTAAAGTTCTTAAGATAGGAATATAGACAGTTTAACTTTATTGAATCCCGTGTGATTTCTCTTTTTTGTTTACCTTTTTATGCTTTTCTTGAGTCTTGTATTTGAAAGTCAGATTTTCCATTCAGATCAGTTTGTTTTTTTTTTCATCAGGAATACTTGTCTATTTCATTAAATATTCTTTTTTTTCCTTGAAGGATTATACTCAATTTTGCTGGGTAGGTTATTCTCGATTGTAATCCTAGCTCCTTTGCCCTCTAGAATATCATATTCCAAGCCCTCAGCTCTTTTAATATAGAAGCTGCTAAATCTTGTGTTATCCCGACTGTGGCTTCATGAAATTTGAATGACTTCTATCTGGCTGCCTGCAATATTTTCTCCTTGGCCTGGGAGCTCTGGAATTTGGTCATAAAATTCTTGGGAGTTTTCATTTTGAGATCTTGAATTTAGGAGGTGATCAGTGGATTCTTTCAATTTCAATTTTACACTCTGATTCTAGGATATCAGGCCAATTTTCCTTGATAATTTCTTGAAATATGATGGCTAGTTTTTTTTTTAATCATAGCTTTCAGGTCTTAATAATTATTCTTAAATTATCTCTCCTTGATATATTTTCCAGGTCAGTTGTTTTTCCAATGTTTTTTCTCATTTTTCTCCTATTTTTTCATTCTTTTGATTTTGTTTTATTGTTTCTTGATGTCTCATGGAATTATTAGCTTTCTTCCATTTGCCCAATTTTAATTTTTAAGAAATCATTTTCTTCAGTGAGCTTTTGTGCCTCCTTTTCCATTTGACCTATTCTACTTTTTAAGGAGTTCTCTTCAGTGAATTTTTGTACATCTTTTCCATTTTGCCAATTCTGCTTTTTAAGAAATTCTTCTCTTCCATGGATCTTTTTGCCTCTTTTACCATTTGGCCTATTCTGTTTTTAAAAGTGTTATTTTCTTCAGTTTTTTTTGTGTGTGTGTATATGTGCCTCCTTTGCCAAGCTCTTTTTTCATGTTTTTCTTGTGTCACTTTCATTTCTTTTCCCAATTTTTCCTCTACTTTTATCTTATTTTTAAATCCTTTTTGAACTCTGTTATGACCTCCCCAACTTTAAAAAAATTTCAAATCATCCCATTTCACATGCTCCACATTCCAACCAAACTGGCTTACTGCTAGTTCTTAAACTGGGCATTCTATCTTCCATACAAATCTTCCTAGCAGATTCAGCATGGGACACTCAGGAAGAGACTGCAGTTGGCATGTGCCAAACAATTCAAACCACTACCACCAACTCCCTTCAGATCCCAAAACATTTTAAGGCCCTGAATTCAAGAGCCTTGAGAATAGCAGTGTCCCTCTCTCTAACTCCATGGGATCCAGCCAGCTTCCAGTTTATCTCCTGTAGCTATTATTGAGGGGAGAATAGACTCACCATCCGTACCATCTTTGCCACCATAAGTACCCACCATTGACTAACTGCCATCAATGATCAGATAGGCCCAAGAGTTTCAGGAATAACAACACTATTCCCCAGGCCACTGGCTTTGTTTACAGCCAAGACCTTTCAGCCATCATGCAGGGAATCAATTCTAAAAGGCACAACTACTAAATAAATTACTCGAGAGAAGAAAGTTCTCA